CTGTTTCTGTGATTGACTTTAATGAGTAGTTTGTTATTTGGTATGGATAGACAGAATCATCCCATCATGCCACTAAGCAGGATCTACCACACTTACCACCACATCAATAACTTAGGTAAGAAATTGATCTACTGCACCATTGTTTTAATTTACACAATGGCAAATGCAGTTTGGAAATAACCAACTCAACCAAGCCAGGAATATAGCCATGGAAACAAAGAAAGATGGAGAGCAGAGAATCACTGAATGTTGCCAAGATCTTTGTGATTCTTGGGCAATGAATATGCTATGTTGCAAACCATAGCCTGGCCTTGTGGCTACTAATCATGGAAATTTCAGTGGAATAAAATTTTAATGGAATAAAATTCCAGGAAGAATATATGCAAAAAAATAGCTCAACAGAGGAATAAAATGCCTAAAAGGGTTTTCTATCTCACAACAGTTGCTCTGGAGAAAAGATATCGTACTTATTGCACATGCAATTACATATTCACAACTGCATTCAGGGAAGAATAATATTATTCAGAAATTTTCAAGAAAGGCTCTAAGAATTAGATTTCAAGAACAGTAAAAATGATCTTCAAAAGACACTCACTGCAAGGTCACTGGAGCTTAGATGTAACCAGTATTTTCTGCCTAGCTGCTCAAAAGTTTGCTTAATTTCTAATGTACGTGCTCCAGAGCTATGATGCTTTTTTCTAACTAGCTTAGCATTTAGAATAGCTCTATATGGAACAAACTCTCAGTATAGTAAAGCATAGTACATATATATATATATATATATATGCAAAATTCCACTGAAAAGCCTCATGATCCTAGATTTATGAGAGGAAGAGTTGGCAGATAACATGCACCACAGGACTGAGCCCCAGTGCATTTTAACCCCTCTATATTCTCTATTCCAAGTCATTAACTGGAGAAGCAAAGACCCTTCAGAGCAGGTTTCAGAGCCACCAAATCTGCTTCCATTGTCTCTACCTAGGACAGCCTAGGGTGGCACTTCCGTCACTGTTTATCAATCTAAACTGCAGTTATTTGTATGAGTTCTCTGTTCAGGGCACTCTTGTGAGCCTTCGAAAAAAGAGACAGTTTTTCAAAATCCTTTTGGTAATTTTCACTCTAATGCTGGACACATGAAGAAATATCAGCTTCCAAAGCATCATCAGAATAATCAAATAATGTACAAACTAGAAAGACGTTAACGGTATATTTCTGGCATAATTACATCCATCCACTGTGCAAATCAGATTTTAAAACAAACAAACAAAAAAAACCTTAAAAATTCTGGCTAATGAATAGCCATGCAGGTTTTTTTCCAAACTCAGTTGAAGAATTCAGAATTAAGGCTGACTGAGCTGAAGTGGCATACCTAAACCATGGAGAAGTACAGGCCTGACCAGTACTACGTAATATAGCTCCTCAGAAAATTTATTATGGCAGAGAAAGGATAGTAGGATAGTAAGCCAGCTGTGCTAATCAAGGAACTCGTGTATTGGGAAGAGTGAGGCAGACCAGAGCAAGGCTTTTTCCACAGCAGCACCTCCATGACCTCCCTTGGCAGATTATTCCATTGTCTGATGGGACCTCAGTGTTTGACCATTTCTCCTAATGTATTTACTTGTTTAGTGTCATCACTTTACATTGCCTGGAGCTCATTTTAACACATCTTATGTATTGTTTTATTTTGAAAGTGTTTATGATATAATCATAAATATTCCCCCCTTAGTCATCTTACTGGTTGGTCAGAAAATAGAAGACTACCTGTGTAAATATATACATTCCTGCATGAGCAGAACTTTGTATATGCATGCAAAACTCAATTTAAATGCACAGATTACTATATATATACAATGTACACTTCCTTCCCAACACATATGCACACTCAGATATCACATGCAAGAATGTCTATTTTCTGACCAATAATCTGACCTCTCTTTTCACAGCTCTTTTCACAGAACTAGGCCCTCCTCAACACAAGATTAAAATAATTTTTAATCCTCTCTTAACATTACAAGTCACTTTTAAATAATCAACAGCCCTTTATTAATACTAAAAGATGTTAAAAAACATAAAACATTCCAAACACAGGCATTAGTTCTGTTTTCTCCATAGTTATTCCACAGTTATGGAACTGTTATGTTTGTTAATCTGAGTCAATGAATCTCAATGCTACACTCACAACTGAATCTAGACAACTCTCTGCATAGATTTTAAAGTAGATTTTATTTCACTATCATTCACCTTCTTCCCTCTTCTCGTAATTTTTCAAAGTGAGTGCAATCTGGTCTATCTTGGCCAGTGTACAAAATTACTTTTATAGCACTTGAAATTTACTGCCCTAAATTTCTTTGTCATTTCTCAAGTTGAATAATTAATAATTGTATTTCATTTGTGTGGTCTTTCTCTCTAGCCTGGTCTATATCCTACTTCACTTTCCAGGTAATAAATACATAATTTAGTTTTAAAAGGACAAATAAAAATTTCAAGTATGATCTTGCTCAAAGATTACTATACAACATAAAATCCAAACAACTGTAAAATTTATACACTTGGCACAAAATAGCTGATGGATCATAAACATGGATCATAAATATATAAGGTATGCTCTTTCACAGAGTGTAAAAGTTATCAGTAAAAGCTGATAGGACCCAGTCACTGGGGAAGATACCTTAGAGTGAGCAGATTGAGAACATGAAAATAAATAAGAGATGCCTGTAACACAGAGTACATATTATCTGAATTTACCACCATATTAAAAAAAAGAGTTCAGAAAAAAATCCTAGCATACAGAACTACTAGACTGCAAGAATCAAATCTGGTAAAGAAAGTTGGTAGATACAATATAGAAAGAAGTAGCATAAAAATCCAACATTAGAGAAGTATCCTGAAGAAAAACGAGCAGTATTGTCAATAAAGATGTATAAAATCACCCTAAGAATTATTAAGGAACAGAAAGCTGCCCTAAAATATTACAGAGGACTACTCTGAAATAATCTGCAACCACTGAAACAAATGATTCAACTAAAATACCATTGAAGAAAGCAGAAAAGAGGAAAAGGAACAAAACAACAGGAGTTAATGAAGTAGGACTGGCTTTACAATATAACAGCAGTGAAATAATTACCAGAAAGAGAAAGAAACCCACTGAGAAGGGAGAAGGCATTTATATCAGCAATGAATAAAAATAACTGATATATGAAATGCCTTCTGACTTTTAAGGACTGCCACAGTGGGAGCACTTACAAAAATAATAAAGGCCTCGTAAAAGTACCTATTTTGAAAGTGACTGTGCATCTTGATCATGAAAGGAAAATAGCCAATAAACAGACTAGACAAAAGGAAACTGGAAATTAGATGCAGGCATAAAGTGAAAATAATTCTTCAATAGTTCATCTTGATTTAATAACAAAACTCTGATGAATACTGAGCAAAGCAACAAAAAATATGGTGAAATGAAAGGCGAAAATCTTGTGAAAACAAGAAAAGACATACACAAATGCGACTCAGCTGAACATGGACTACATCCAACTGCAACTATGTGAGAGCTGTGGAACCTGAGTTGAAAACAGCCACAGTACTAAATAGGCTTCAGAATGATACTAAAGGAGTTAATTTGGGGTTTACACTCCCTGAAGCAGTGCAGAGATTTGTACATCAGCTCAGACACCAGCTGCAACCTTGCCACACCTCTAGAGTGGAGCTGGGTAGCAGGATAAGGGACTGGCTGCACTGCTTCCAGGAGTGGGGCTGGCTCAGGCCTCCCTCTGCCTGGACATACGGCACTATAAAGTTTCCATTCTCCAACAAATACATTAAGAAAACCTTCCTCATGTGATAACATTATATCTTACTATTTCCGCTAGAAAAGCATTCATAAGGGCTTTCACTCACAGTTGTCAATCCCTTTGAGCTTTTTCTGCACAGCTACAGAGAGAGCCAGAGATTTCCCCAGGAGTGGACTCAGAGGAGCTGCCTCAGGCTCCTGTTCTGTACAGTCAGCCCTGCTTTCAACATCTACACAAGGAACTTGGGGAAATGCCTCTCACTGAACTCAAAGGTATTACATGTAACATACAACAATTCCTCAAAAACAGAGGGGACATCTTCACCTCTGAATTTAATTCAGGATTCAGAGTTGAGACCTAAGGTTTTTATTTTGCTCATTTGTTTTGCTTTTTGGGGTTTTTAAATACCATTGTAAACGATCGAAATAAACAAACAAACAAGTACTTTGACCATACTCACAGGCAAATCAAACATTTTGATTAGGAATGTGCAAGATCAAAAGATGCAAATCAACCTCAGAGGATTTATCATAAAATTAGCCTCTTGCACTATTTAAGCACAAAAGTAACTGCACACATTCTGTGACATTCTGTTAATTGTAAATATTTTGATCCAGAGGAAAAACTATTATAAGTAAAGTATTTTTGCTTGGCTTTCATGCTTTCTGCAGGTGAGGCTACTATTTAGAGATTTTTGCTACTTTAAAATAGAAATACTTGGTTATTATTCAGGAAAATGGAAATACATAAATTTATCTAATCATAATGCATATTTCTTTCCCTTAAGAGGCTGTTTTTTCAAGTTTCTTCACTTAAAGTATTATCGATTATAAATTCTTGTCTGTGTTTTACTACAAAATCCAGTGGCCAGCAGCAATGCAGAACTATAAAGAATTCTCACAGAAAGTATAGACAGCATGTATCAACTGAAATAATAATTTCTGGCTGTATCTTTAAGAACACAGAAAATAATTAAAAGCAGTGTCTTGAACTCTTTCATGGTTTATGTGAATGAACATGAATATTTTCTCATGCATTAAATATATTCCTGACACTTACCTTAACAGAAACAATGACAAAGAAATCTCAGTGCCATTTTTAAGTTACCGTTTCAGATCCCAAATACTGCATTAGGTAATCTCATTTCTTAGAAAAGCCAACAAGTAGAATTGCCAAACCAAGTTTTCTCTGAATGTTATACAAACTGCTACTTACAATCCGAGGTTTGAAGGGCGGCTTGATTTTCCTTTGTTCTAGAAGAACCCAGTCAATTTCCTTGAAAAATGGATGCTGCTTAATTGCATCTTCCCCATTTTGTGATGCCACACAGCCAAGTCGCTTGTTGGGATTTTTTGTCATGAACTACAGAGTGTGGAGGGAGAGGAGGGAAAGGTTAAAACATGAACGGCAATACATGGAAATCATTTGTCACTCAATTACACACTATAATTCTTAAAGACAAGTTTTTATAGACAGTTCCCTTTCAGAAGGTTATTTCTTCTGGCCCTCCAAATTTCAGAGGTTTCAGCCAAACTATAAGATTTAGAGACTCCAAACTGTAAATTTACTGCAGGAAACTCTTTCAGTTTATTGTTGAGACATCTTAATTTCATGTGAGTGGGAGTGCTAAGGGAATATGTTCTCTTTCAGCGTATCTAGTTCCAGCTTTAGCCAAAAATACTAAAGGAAAGAAAGACAATCTTAAACTCTACAGAGAGAAAAGTAATCAGTACTTGCAGAAAAATTCCCTTTAGAATGGGATGTCATGTCCCCCATAACATAACTTGCACACTCTCTTTCATTTTTAGTATACGATTAGTGTCAGCAATTGGAACTAACTGGTCTCCCCTGGTGTGGTAATTAATAAACTTCTCACATTTAAACTATTTACTATTCCTATCAGGAAAAAGCTGTGCAAGTGGTGTAAGACACTGGTATCAACTGATGTCAGCTCATAATACTTTACCTGATTTTTCTTCTGTTATTTTTTTCCTTCTTTTATTAGCAATTGCTCTACTTATTTTCTAATTTGTGTGGACATAGAATTATTGCAATTCTAGTAGCTACAAATGCTATTCTTATACAGACAAACACATTAGCTCAATAGCTTTGCTATAATTTCATATTCAGACATTATATAACATTTTTAAATTTAGAAAATGTATACAAAGTAAACAAAGTGTAATAATTGTTCAGTACCTTTTCAACCTATGTATGACATTATACTATACTTCTGTAGGGAAAAAAAAACAACTTAGAAAAAAAGAAATCACTAATGCATGCCCTTGCTTTAGTACTCCAGTTATTAGGAGTAAGGAGCTACTTAAGCCCTTAGAATTATTTTAGATATCTAGATCAACCATCCACAGAAGAATACTCTAGCTATCTATTCAAAGGTATAACACAGATCAGCAAGGCAATTCTGTCTGTGATTTCTGACATACATGCGCCATTCTGAAGATGATCCTTCTCTTTGGTCTTGAGTTCAACTGCTCTGCAAGTTCTGCAAGTGGGCAAGTCATATCAAAACTACAGGTAGTATTTTCTATAAGCAGGAGAAATAAATTTTTTGAAAGGATTACTGTGCTTTGGTGAGGTCTCTTGAAAAACCACAAAACATATTCCTACATTCCTCTGCTTTATTTTATCTCTAGGACTGGAGCGAGCAGGCCAGGAACCCACAGCCTCATGTGTTCCAGAAACAGAACACAGAAACTACAGGATATGCTTTTTGTACCATATAATCCAGGTATCAAAGAAGTAAAGTATGATCCTAGTATCTGCCATGCTTTATCTTTGTTTTAAACTGGAGACAGGGAAAGCATCTGGACATGTAATTTTTTAAGTAGCCCAGAACATGAAAATGTGACTAGACAGTCCAGTTTACTGCTGTACTTCATAAACTTCATGAAACATTGAAATGGATGATGAAAGAGAATGTATTTTAAGAATGAATAATTAAACAAAAATATCATATGCATATATGATGAAAAAATATCAAACTTCCAAAGCAGACATTTAATTCCATTAACTTAATCCCTTTCTATTTCTGAAGCAAAGGCTGAAATTTATTCCCTGTTTATCACCAGCATCAACACTGATGCAGCTGGCAGGACAGATACGGCTGTTTACTGCACTCTGCTGAAGAGATGGTTGCAAATGGAGCTGACAGCCATAGCCATAAGCCTTTTTATTTTCCCATACTAAGGCAGGAACCTCCTTTTCTGAATGAAGAAGCCTTTTAGGATCAGCATTCCTTAAATGAACTTAAATGATAACAGGACAAAATGATGCTTAGGGCCTGAATCAAGGATCACTGGGCTCCCCAAATTTTGCTTCGTGAAATGTATCACACACTTTAAAAATACAGTTCTACTTCTCTAGCCAGAGACTGTCATCCTGGTACACAGGGAACACACACTGTAGAGACAACATCTCTCCATTGCTTGGGAAGAAGCAGAGAGCCAATTTCAATGAAGAATTGTTTTCTTTACTACACAGGAAAGAATTTAAATAGCAATTCCTGTCAATTCACAAAAACAGGACTAGTAAGATATGTGGATTTTCATGGAATAAGAAACATGCTGCCTTGTAATACTGAGCCTTAATATCATCATCAGTGTTTTGTTGGAAATAACAGGAAAACTGTTTCTTCAGAAAATAAGACAACATTGTTATTTAATACAAGAGAATGTCTTCTTATTAAACTTTCCTTACGTGCTGTTTGAAGGCATGTAAAAACACACAGTTTCTAAAGAATAAAACTCATGTCTCAAAGCACAATGTAAGGAAACAAAGTGTTCCAAAGTTAATCCCTTGCTACCATTCAGCAGTAAAATACATAGCCGCCTCTTTCTTTCCTCTGTTTTTCCTGTTCTTCATATGGACAAGTATCAGATGAAGAACACAAGTTTCAAATATGTTTCACACCACAGATGTGTAGGCAGCAGGTTGCTAATCATAAAGAAATGAATTTTTTTTATGGTGTAAATTGCGACAGCTCCATTAAATTGTATCAATTTATGCCTAAAAGGCTGTGACTACAGCAAGATACAAATCATCATTCCTACTATCAAAATGTAGATCCAGGAAAACAGCCTCTGAAAATTCTGTAGAAAAGTCAGCTTTAAAAGAAAATCCCCTGGACTACAATGAAAATCAGATGTAAGTATGAAAACAGACAACAACCCTTCCTTTACAATGTGCCAAAATAACCCCTGAGCCCTAGATTTTAGCCTGAACTCTGCAGCTCAAGTCCATATATTTAAATTGCTGAAGTGAAATAATCAAAGGGTCTGGAAACAGAAATGGTTGCATGAAAATATCATGTGAGCTAACAAAAAGTAGTCAGAAAGCTATTTGGGGGAGAAGAGAGAACTATTAATAAATTACTACCAGCAGCAAAAAATCCTCCATATTCTCACTACAGTGAATATAGGAAAAGAGATACTTCAGCAAACATTTCCAAGAGGTTAACTTTGACTTCTGCTTTGAATCATTGTTAGACCATCTCTCTTTCTCAGCTAGAAGGAGCCTGAAGACATTTTCATTAAAAGGTAAAGATGAGAATTTCTGCAGAATGTGCTGTCCACTGGTGTAAAAATCACAATTGGTTTATGTTTTATATATAATTTCAAAATAACCCTGTATGAAGATCTCTGCAGGATTTTACACTATCAGCTGCCTTCTTAATTGAGTCCCTCTTACTCCAGATGCTGAAAGAAAAATATGTGAAAAGGCAGAAATATTCCAGTTTCAAAGACGGTGGAAAAACGGAATAAATAAAAATCAAATGGTTTTTTAAAGCCCAAAATCATTCTCAGGTTTTCAAATTATGAGGATTGGCATACTGCTTCTGTATTGTTTTACTTTTAATTTTAGGATGGAACTAGCACAGAAGAAAGAATTTATGTGTCAGTGTCATATATGACTTTATAAACCTGACTTTATAAAGACAATCTAAAAACTGAATTTGCCCAGTGGCACAAACTGGCTGATTAAAAAAATTGGGGCATTTGGTGACACAAGTTGCTGTCAAGTCACCACTCATACTGAAAAATCCCAACGAGAACAGAAACAATCACACTAAAGTAAGACTACTTATCATGTGATCTGTAAAATAGAACATGCAGCTGTAAATCAGGTCTCCCATCTTGATGACAGGGGAAGAAAGGAAAAGGGACAGGAAATTTTGTAAGCAGGTTAAATAAAAAACATTTCTTCTTTAATTATGTAGTACTTCTCCCACTCTAGTGATGGGAGCATGCGGCATATAAAGTGTCAAAGTGATAGCACAGTTCTAGCTGGTTGGGTTTTCCCTGAAACATGAATCTGCAGTACACAGATTTATTCAGTGTACAACTGCATGGAATACAAACATTCTGTTCCTTTCCCACAGGCAGTGTAATTTATCCCAGGCCCCATTATCCTAACAGTGGCACTGTGAACTGTGCTTGAACTCCCAGTGGTGACTGCTCTCAACAACTTTCAGCAAATTCAATTTCAATCAAGGAAAAAACCCAACAAAACAACCCCCCAAAAACGCATGAGGAGGAAAGCAAGTAATGGAAGACTCACTGCTTTTAAAATGCTGACAGCTTCTTTACTGAGCCAGACTGGATACAATACATCATCATGAAGAATGGATTCAAAGAGATCATCCTCATTGTCAGCTTCAAAGGGGGGTTGTCCAGCCATCATTTCGTACATGAGAACACCCAGAGCCCACCAGTCCACGGATGGACCGTATTCTAGCTCCTGGAGGATCTAGCATAGAAAAAGAGATTGGATTGAAGGGACAAGTGAGACACCTGTCGTAGCTGCACATTTGCTATTTCAGCATGATCTAGCCCTTCTATGCCCCAGTGCCTAAGCAGACCTGAATCATACACTTATTTCAGTAACAGCAGGCAGGGTTTCTTACCCATGCAATTTGCGCTAACACAGCTAAGTGTCAATGAGATGCTGTTCTCAGAAGTACTGATGGAGTTTATCAGTCCCCTGAGTAAACAAAAGAGCTGCATATCCTTCCAAGCTGTTTCAAGCAGGTCACACTATAGGGGAAAAAAGATCATATATACAAAACAGACTGGTGGAAAATGTGAAACATTTCTTTGTCTCTATCTTGAACAAACCAAACTGAACCAGCTTCTAATGCTGCATTGAGATAATCTGAGAGATTTATTCTTGTCCTTTAGGTAGAGCTGGAGGAAGCCAAAACCATTTTTGTTCATGTTCCTTTTATAGCATTAAACCACTGCACAAAATATGGCTGTAGAATTCACTTTAATTGTGCTTGTTTTCAGGAAAAACTGGCTACAGCTTCTCATGAAGCACAAGTTCAATCTTGTAGCAAATATCTTTAGCAGCAAGCAATAGTTCAGCATGATGGAGTTTTATAGTAGCAGTTGGTATTACAGAACTACTGTTGTGCCAAGAACAAGTTTGATTCTTGTCTTCTTTTCACTGGAAAGAAGCTTGCAGTTTGGCTGCACTGGTTCAGCATGACAGGGAACCAGGGAAAGGGGAGTGTGTGCCTGCTTAAGGTGAAACTGGCTACCTTAAAATGACTTTGAATGGCAACAAATCCTTACACAACACTTTAACAGTGCAGTAAGAAATCCTGTGGTGAGCTGCTTGGGCTTAGTGCCGTAGCTGGGAATCAAGACCAATATTAAACCAAATTCAGTCTTAACATAAAAACACAAATGAGTTTAACATTTGGATACACAGATCTGGATCCCAACCACATTCTTCATTGAAAGAAAATTATATTTTATAGCCACCAAATACAGAAAATCAGATGTATACTTTTCAAGAGTTCTGGGCACTATTTGGAAATCAGACACTGTTAAAGAAAAGGAAATTAAAACATATCACCATGGTGCAAGAGAAAAAGAAGCAGGAGCTAAATTTCTGTACTTGAGACATTGGAAGCCTCAGTAAAAGTTCCTGGGCTCTTATTATTGCTTTATTTTCAGTAATAATTTTCAAAGAATTTGTCGAAGGACTCAATTAGTATACTGAATCAGAAAAAAATTCATAAAAGCCAAAACTACAACACTGGTATTTATTTTCTTTTAATGCTGAAATACTTTTCAAACCTCTGTAAGACACACCTTTATATTATGATAATTTCAAGACGATTCACACCTTATCAATTGTGCTACCAAAGTTGGACAGCCATGAACACTAACAGTATGGATTTATGATTTATTATCTCTAATGAATAATAAATAACACTTTTCCCCACTGCAAATTCATGTTTGATGAAAGACAAACCAACAACACTCTTCAATTAAAACTGTACACTGAATGTTCAAGTGGATAGATGCACAGGTTACTAACTCAACTGAGCAGACAAAGTCTGCCTAGCAGAATAACAGTTCAATATTGGTTCGTTTTAGGCACTTTGAAATGCACGTCATAATATTAAAATCAAGGATATGTAAAAGCCACACAGCTATTTCTTTAATTCAGTGAACATCTTGAAATGTTGCCAACTAATATGCAGCACCTATATCTAGTTTCCATCTTTCTGTGCAAGTCTACGAAACAGCGCAAGCATAGTGTCTTTCACTCACAGATATTTTAAAGAAAGGAAAAAAATTATATTCCCACAATGGCCATAGACAAAATGACACCAAACACATGGTTTCTTCTGAATGAATATGTTCTTTTAAACCTCACTAAAAATAAAAACATTTTTATAACTGCTAAAGATTACTAAGATTGCAGTACTCAGTTGCATCTAGCACCTTAAATGCTGCTAAAAAATCATCATAATAATGCTGAGTCAAAAATAAGCAAATTGAGAAAAATAATTTCAGGAAACAAATACTAGAAAAAACTCTCCTATCATCAAGGAATAGTGCTTGTGAGCAGTAGAGTAACCATTGCAAGACTACCTAAGCACAACTGCAACAGTCTAGTCTGCATCTTAAATATTTTCATCTACATGTGAAGAGTGTCTAAAATTACACATGTAAGAGTCTGATGAATAAGAATATCTATAGTCTTAGTGCACTGCAAAAAATACCTCTGGAGCTATATAGTCAGGTGTGCCACAAAACGTCGTGGTGGTCACTCCATTCAGAATCCCTTCTTTGCACATCCCAAAGTCAGCCAGTTTACAGTGGCCTTCTGCATCCAGAAGAATGTTGTCCAGTTTCAGGTCCCTGAAACACAAAGGCCTCAAATTAAATCAACTCTCAAATTTTGATCATGTGCTCTTGAATTTCATAATAAACTATAGAATTTGACAAATAAGTGGTTTCCCAAACACCACTGAGAAACTGTCCTTCACATGTGTGCATGAAAAGTTGGTAATGGTCACTAAACAGACCTAGTTAAAGGCAATAAAACAAAGAAGCAGACAATTACAAGCATTTTATAAGGCTTTTACTCTCTAGCTGCATGAAAGCACAGTGTTCATATATTCAAGGTAGCATCAGAAAATTTGGGAAAGATCTGTTTCTTGCTTCCTACAAATCTATCATTCTGTCAATGTGGAATAGGTCAGTGAAGCCATTCTCTCTTTTTGCATTAGCACTAAGCAAGGAGTACCAATTTATCCATACTCTAGCATACGGGTTCAGTCAATAGGTATTTTCAAACTTGGATTACTTTGAATTTGATTCTTCATGTACAGTAGCAATTCAAGTTCAGGTTTCTGAGGGATGAAAAAAAAATGAGAGGGATGAAAAACATTTCCATCCTTAGGAGCACTATTTTCTACAGCTTAAGGCTGCTCAAAAATAATTTAAAGGGAATATTTTGAATTCATTGTTAAGCAACATATATTAGCAGCTGTTTCTGATCACTTGTTGTACAAATGCCTTTGTGTCAAAACCACATAAATGTCTGCTTATTAAATTGGGTTGACAAAATTATATGGTTGAGAAAAGGATATCCACCTTTGCTGTCTTGCCCTCTGCAATATTTTCTAAATATACAATTGATGGTTATTACATAATCCAACCTAGATGCTAGGTACCATTTAACTTATCTGCCACTTGCCTTAGATTTAATTACAAAAGGATGTGGAAAGTCAGTACATAAAAGAACTCTCACTTGAATTAACTGCCCCCTACCCTCCCACCAATTAAAACCTCTTCATCATGTAGAAATAATAACACAAACATAAAACAAAGGCCAAAAAACCCCACTTATATTACATGTGCATCAAAGCAACATTTGATTTTTATATTCCTGTGTCAGCTTTTAGGTATCTCTGATGTATATTAAAGATACATAGTATATTTAGACATAAAATAGGTAAATATATCTAAATATATCTACGTGGTATTATATGTATGAATGCATAGAGAGGTGAGAATCAAAATAAGAACATGTCTTTAGGTGACTTTGTCAACACTTTCTGATTAGAATTCTTTTTCCTAGAATATTCAGACAAATTTCCTTAGGTTGAACTGATGAAGATAAAAAAAAAAAAGTGTATGTGTAGGCAAGTTCTAAATCAGAAAAAGGAATAAAATCCCATGCCAGCCTCTGTAAATGAATTTCATCCCAAAAGCCTATGAAAAGGTGAGGATTTTTTTTCAAAAATCCTTTATGACAACAAATTTGACCTGAGTGAGGGATGGAAAGTCACTTTACTGAGAGAATTTCTTCTAGAGAAATGTCTCCCTATCAGATCCCAGCCTTCAGAACCACAGGCACCAAACATGGTGGAAGCATTTATGCACATTAATTGATTAAACAGCCCTTCCAAGGCTGTAGTATTTTAAGAGTTTTTGTAGACATGTCCAAGGCTACAATATGCTGGGATTTCCCTAGAAATGTTCTTTTCTGCCTCTCATATCAATTTCAGTAGGTGGATTTTAGTGTTTCCTTTTTTTTCTTTTGACACTTGTTAAACATTTTTAAACATGCTGACCATATATTCCTCAAGCAGGTACACAGGCCAACATAAAAATCAGCTATTTCTGGGGCACAGTGGACTTGCTAGTCAAGGTCTGCATAATCACTGCACATCTGCAATGATACAGCTACAAATCAGATACTGGGAAGCACTGGAGGACTTACTGTGCATGTAGAAATAGTTTGTGTTATGTACATGTTACAAAGTGGTTTTGTGTCTGACATGGCACAACAAAGTCATATTTACCTCAGAAACTGTAAAACAACTGTCTCCTACATAAACTAGCTATGTCAGATATGGTTTATGTGGCTGAACTATACTCTGGCTGTAGAAATGTTTATTGTAAGCAATATCGCCTACATCATACTTTGCTGTCTCTGGATTAGCTATGCTGCTCTTGCAGGTCCTCAGTGGTCACCCATGTATGGCCCCTTGGAGCAGACTACATATTTTATCATTCCTTAAGATCATTAATTTCAGCAGTTCCTAAATAATCCAAGATCCAGCTGGCTGCAACATAACCCCCTACGTATAACCATTTAAACCCTCAAGTAACCACCTCTTCCTACCTCTGGAAAGTGATTTGTGAGAATTGATGCCAGGGCAAACAGGCATCAATGGCTCTGTGTCCCCCCTACAAGAAGTCAAAGAAACAAAACAAAGCTCCCTGTTTCAAAAATCATGTGCCTTCCCAAAACTGCTCCTTTACAAGTGCTACAATAAAAAGACCTGCATTCAAACAGGACTATAGCAACATCAAATATAACGTGATCATCAGTGTAAGGCTCTGGCAGATTGAAGAAGGAAACAAGATTGTAGCTGTAGCTTTTAACCTTCCAAGTGCAGTTTTATATTGGATGTTTCTTAACTAAGGAAGAATACAAGCTGTATTTCAAGAAGTCAAGATATTCAGACAGAGAAATCAAAGTATAATTATATTTGATATAATCTTGGAACCACTTACAGCCACCATCACAACAGACTAGAAAGGTCATAATACATATAATTATGACAGGAACTGAAGAAATTCAAGAGGCTGCTTAGAAAAATGGATCCGCCTTTATTAAGTGTTTTAACTATTCAGTGTTTATGAGAAGACTCTTAAATTACATCTTAACTCTGATTGCAGGACTTCCCCATTTAGGTAGGTGACACACTGGAGTTGTTAGGACTTAAATAATTTAACTTTCATTTAATGCCATCCATATGGCAGCTGTGGACTTGAATGGAGATATAGTAAATAATCCAGGAAACTCCTAAGCTAAGTGAAACCTCAACAGCAATAAAACATTAACAATAAGGCACCACATAGTGATAAGGACAAGATACTCACCATTCTCTTTATTTATTTAAGAATTTGTATAAGACACAGAAATTAGCAATAAAAATTTAACCTGACAGTGAAAAAACAGAATAAACAAACTGAGCCAAGAGAAAACTAGGAAGAGTCTAATTATTAAATTCTACCTGTAAAGAGTGATAATGAAATTTTAAGCCTAGCTGTAAAAGCACAAGTCAATTTACCTCTTTTACAATTTACCAAACTATAATCTTAATTGACAGAAGAAAAGCATCTGGTACACCCCTTTATCAAGCCAAAACAGTGCAGTGAAGCCTATAAGCCTCTTCAAAACTCTGTTGAAGGCACTGAGGACATCAGCTTAATTACTCACGCAATAATGAAATGTAATACCAGTAGAATTGTGTTATCACGAAGTGCACCAGAGTTTAAAAAAAATTTGGAAGAGGCTAAAACAACAGCAGTATGACTCCCGTCAAAGTACATATGGGAGGTTAAAAGGTAAGCTGCGATTCTGCCAAATTCATAGCTGGCACACAAGATTATCATAGTCCATAAAAGCTTGCACCAAAAATCATTCTGTAAATTTACAGTTTCCAGATTAAAAAATAAGCCAGAAAAAAACCTCCCCAAAGCAAGAAATCTCACCAAATCCCTCTAATTCTGCAACTTTGAAAAATAAATCTCAGTTAAATAAATAAATGTGAGAGTAGGAGTGGATAACGTGCTATTTAACACCTCACAGGAAAAAACATCCCCAACAACCAAAACATACAGAGAAAAGGAAACAAATGAAAAAGTAAGAGAAAAAGTTATCAGGGAAGTATGTCTTTCCAGATCAGCAGCCTCTCTGAAAAAAAATTAAAACTTTAACTTTTAGACCCATATTTCCCCAGAACTGTTCCAAGAAACAGTCAGCTCTCCCACTCCTCCAAAAGTAAAGTACACAGACATATCTGGAATGTAAAATAATCATCTGTACAGGTTGTTCCATTCTGATCCATTCCGTGTTTTATTTGTTTCCTGGATTTGGTGCCAGTTGTCTACCTCTGAATAAGAACATACCAAATAATACAGTGTCAGATAGTTCAATGACAAAGGTCCATTAAATTCTTATTTTTCTCATTTTGCATTCTCTTTGTAGTAAGTAAGAAAGTCATCTGTGTGTCTGACAAAATGAGTTCCTACAACCTGAGTAATTAATTATGTGCAACTGCAAACAACCTAACCAGTTAAGCCAGGAGAATGCTCAATTTCTTGAATTCAGCAATGCTACATTAAGCTGTTTCTCTCCTTTGTTTTTTTGCCAACATACTTTGTAGAGTCACTTCAGCTGACTTGAGCAGTCATTGCATGAAATGTTGTCGGCTGGGTTTGTTTTTTTTTTTTTTTTTTTTTTTTTTTGTTGGGAGGTGGGTTTTGTTCTGAGAAAGCTTTAAACAGAAATTTAAGCCTCAGTCTCTCTTCTACATACCTGCCAGCATCACAGTCACCTCAGAAGCTGGAATGATTGGCAGTATCTCAAGAAAGAATCAGGATTATGAGCTAGGTTTGTGCAAGTTGGAACAGAAGAGCAGGCTGACTACAGGTAACATGTGCGAAAACTTCTGTAATGCTCATTCCTTCCTCCACATGTGAGTTCCATGAGATACTGAGTGCCTTGGCTTCCTCCAAAGGCTCAGTGGATGAGTATTTCACAGGACTGGGTTCTTAAAGTCTGACTCTCACCTAGCCAGAGAAATAAGCATCTTGTGTGTCACTGTGTGTCACAAGTGTCAACTAGATATCACACCATTTTCTTGTTGAAAGTAAGGCAGTTAAACAACGAAGATGGGTTTGGACCAGTAAAATCAGAAAGTCTGCCAAACAATTACTAAGAGTAGCCTTTCAAGGCAGTATGCAGCAGTGACTAATTAAACACACATTTGAAGAACAAGATCAAGCAGCTCAGAAATATGATCACAACTTTACAGTGGCCACTTTACCACTTCTGC